TTTTTGTCTTTTTGAGACAGGGTCTCGCTATGCAGTTCAGGCTGGCCTTGAGTTCACTTTGTAGCCCAGGCTGGTCTCTAACTCACAAGGGATCCTCCTGCCTCAGCCTCCTGAGTGCTGGGATTACAGGCGTGCACCGCCATGCCCCGCTCAGCACATATTTATTGAGTTCTTCCATGCCAAGCAGTCTTTTAGTTCCCACTGACAGTAGACAAGGCCTTTATCCTTAAGGAGCATAGGAGCTTGTGAGTGAGACACCTGTAAGCCAGCAAGTACAGTAGCCTGTGACCAGAACTGAAATGGAGATGTGTACACAGTACGTCAGGGGGACACATCTTCCCTAGGGACATCCAGGAAGTTCCCAGAAGAGAAAATGCTTTGCCTGAGGCTGTAATATAAAAAAGTGTGTACTAAGTAGGTGACTTTAGCATAAAAGCATTCTAGCAGAGGGAACAACTTGAGTAAGGTATAGTATGTTACACGTGTGTTTAGGGAGCATAAGTCTAATGGAGAGAAGGACAGAAGAAAGACAAAAGCCAGGCCCCAGAGAGCGTGGTATACTGCACTAACCAAAATGCATGGATATTTACCCTCTAGACAAGGGAGTCCATGAAGGAAGTAACCGAAGGAGTGAAATGAAAGGATCTGCATGTTATAAAGATCATTCTAATGACAGCACAGTGGTTGGATTAAAGGTAGCTAAGACCTAGTGCAGTGATGGCAAACGTTTTAGAGATGAGAGCCCAAACTGCAACCAAAGCCCACTTATTGCAGAGTGCCAACACTGAAATTAAACCTGAATACTGAGCTTTTAATTTAGAAAAAAAAAACTCATACATTAACATCATTTGCCTTAAAAGAAAAACAAATAACATGTGTGTCATCGGTTGACCTCCACTGACCTAGTGTGAGGAAATTAGTTAGGACTCCATAAAATATAAAAGCCTGAGGGCTGGGGCTCAGTGGTAGAGCTCTTACCTTGCATGCACAAGGCCCTGGGTTTCATCCCCAGTACCATAAAAAAGGAAATAAAACCTGAACTAGTGGAGAAAAAAAGGAGGTGATATAACCTATTACTGTCTGGAGTTGTGATCAATTGGATATAATTAGTGCAGTTGGAATCTAAGATTTTGCTAAGAGGTCCTGGCTTATATAACTGAATAGATGGCAGTGCCACAGAAATAATGAAATCAGCCAGGAAGATTTGGGGAGATTTATAGTGAGGACTGGGAAATAAATTCAATTTTAGGTATCTTTTTGGTATTCATATTTTCAATACTCTCAAATAGAAATATTCACAAGGGTACAGAAATGCAGGATTCAAAATTGAGCAGAGGCAGAACTTCAAAATCAAAACTAGTATATTCATCGTATATCATTAAGTAGAAGCTTGTAATGAAGGTAGTAGCTCAGAAAGATGGTTGTCAAAATCTAAAAGTCAAAGACAGAATCCAGTTGAACAATAGATTAAGGGAAATTAAAGGTGGAGAAGCTTAAGAAAGAATAATTAAAGGAAAAGTAAAAAGCAAGAGAAAAGTAGGGCTCCAGAATGTAGGCTAGGGGAGAAGAGCAGTTCAGGAGGATATGTTTGTAAAGAAGCTAGCCATTAGGTTATCTGAACATTTAGTAATCAAGAGGACCATGACAGTTTTGCACTATATCTATGGATTGACAAGGACTAAAGGGTAGATTAAAAGTTGATTGGCACTGCAGCAAATGAACTCATGGAAGTCTTCTCAGAGCTTCACTTTGAAGACTGAAAAATAATCAAACTGTGACTGGAGAGAGAATTGGCATCCAAGAATTTTTTAAGTATTGGAGAGATGCATAAAATCATATACTAAGGAAACAAAGCCAATGGACAGATTCAAGGTAAGTAAAACGCACTGTGATTGTTAATTGTGATGTGTCAACTTGAATGGATTAAGAAGCACCTGCTGGATAAGTGGAGCACAGTTCTGGGTGTGTCTGTGGATGACTGACGTGCAGACTGCAAACTGAGAAGGGAAAATTCAAGCTGGATGGAGGTAGCACCAACCAATAGGCTTGAAGCCTGGATGAAAAAAGAAGGGAAAGAAGAAGGAAGTCTTCCCATTGCTTTTTGGGAGGAATGGCTGTCTTTTCCACTGCCTTTGGAAGTTTGTCTCTAGTTCCTTCAGGCTCCCAGCACAGACTTCAGGTTTCTGACACAGACTCACACTGGGCTGTGCAGTGAGCTTCAGTCCTTCAGCCTTCAGCTGGATCCTGTGGCCCTCCAGCATGCAGATGACCACTGTGCATCCTTCCACCTGATTCTGCAGGTGGCCATAAGTAAATCATTTGTATGAATGCACACACACGTTTTATTAAATCTGTTCTAGTAAATAACGGATACAGACATCAAGGACACAGTTGACCTTGGAGGAAGCAGGAAATTTTTTATCAGAAAGCCAGGTTGATCACTGCATTTTGACTTAGAGCAGTGGTTCTAAATCTATGGTGATTTTGCCTCTCAGGAGCTACTCAGCAGTGTTTGAACATTTTTGTTATTTCAGCTACAAGGACAGAGACCCTACTGGCTTCTAATGGATTTTGCTTAGCCACCTAGAAGCAAAAGACAGCCTTCTTAACAAAAAATTATGTAGGAGGGCTGGGGATTTAGCTCAGCGGCACAGCGCCTGCCTGGCAAGCGCGAGGTCGTGAGTTCAATTCCTGGTACTGGAAGAAAAACAAGCAATTATCTAGGAAAAAATACCAGCAGGGCCAACTTAAAGTAGTACTCCTCTAAGATAGTGTGCTTGGGAGTGCAGAAAGTCAAAATGTAGAAATTTAAGGCTATCTCTATGTTCTCCAAAACAAAAAGCATGGCTCACTACTAATGAAGATGCGGGGAAAGTAAAATCAGAGCTCAAGCCAGAGAGACCATGTGAACCTCTAAGGAAAGTAGGAGCGGGACCTCATTTGGGAAATGTTAAAAAGATTCCTTGGTGGTTCTGGGAGCTGTGTTCCAGATACCACAAGTCTATGTAGTTGGATCTTTTTTTCTTCAATAGTGCTTGGCAACTAAAAAAGGTGATTTTTGTTTGCTGTGTGTGTGTGTGTGTGTGTGTGTGTGTGTGTGTGTATGTGTGAAGCACAAGAAGGCAAGAGACTTGATAGCCTTGGTAAGAGAGTCATTGGAGTTGTACATTATGGAGCATCAACCAGATTGCAGAGTTTAGAAAACCAAGACAAGACTGGCAGACTTAGAAAGCCAAGTTCTCTACAAGGCTGCAGTAAGCTACCCAAGCCCAGGTGGAAGCCTAGACGTGGGTGGAAGCATAGAAGTGCACAGTAAAGGAGTCAGTAAGCTGGGACTACTAGAGCATTTAAGGCTAGAAACTTACTTAGTACCTAAGATATCAAGCATTCTCCGTTAAGATCAACTCATAAAGTATGCATAAGAGCTAAATAAAATTGAAGGACACATGAGAATTGACCTCACCAAGGAGCTAGAACCCCAGAGTGTTGGGCAGCTTATACTCTTGAACATTAAAGCTCCAGAGCAATAACAGAATTGGAATGAACAGGAAACTGGTTGAAACAAGAGCTGATGTCCTAAATTATTGTGTTAGAGCGGAGATCTCAAACTTGGCCAAGGAATTAATCACCTAAGGAATTAATGCAGTATAAACATTTATAACGTTGCCATGCATAATCATTGTAATAGCTAAGATTTTAGTCCATTTCTGAAATTCTGAGACACTGTGAAAGGTGCAGCCTTTACTTGTAGTGATTTGCTGACTTCCCTGACCATCATATTGACCATGGTATTGAGGCTGACCAACCCCTTCTTCTGAGTGTATTCCTATCCAGTACCTGCAAATTCTGCCTCAGCCAGAGGAGATGAAAGGAACTCTGGTCTCTTACTGGCTACCTGTGAAATTGCCCTTCATCTTCTGATGTTCCTTAGGATGAGAGCCCCTTATTTGCTTCCAAGACTCCCAAGTTCTCACTGTCTGTCCCACCTCTCTACTTAGATGGACTCACTGCCTCCTATTCTTGGTTCAGACTATAATTTTTTTAATTGTGTGTCATTGTTCCCTTATAGACTGATCTCATTGCTTTGGACATATCTTTATGTTCCTCCTAGCAGACTGGTT